GACGCTCCCCCCTTCCTCCTCTCTCCTCAGAACAACCTGGGCATCCTGTGGTCCGAGCGGGACGAGATCAAGACGGCTCAGACGTACCTGGAGTCGGCGGAAGCCTTGTACCACCAGTACATGAAGGAGGTACCGTGGTGGCCCGCGCGGCACGCTCGGCTTGTGGCCTGCAGCGGTGTCCGGCTGGGTTCTCCTCAACGGAGAAGGCTGTGGCTCACCCGAACGCTGCTTTTTACATGTCTCATATTCAAGCCTCCTTCCCTAGGGGACCTTTCGCGTGACAAGGTGTTAGCCATCTTCAAAACACATGTGGATTCCCGAGCGTTGTACTGGTTGCTCTGTTACTTTTGGAAACGAATCACTGCGAATCACTAATCCAAAACGAAAGCCAGGTAGAATTCGGCTTCAAATTAAGACTTCTTGGCCTTATCTTGGAAATGCAGGCAAGCATTAAGCCATTGCTTTCTGTAGGAAATAGAAATAAAACTGCTTGGTGTTTGCCGTGGGATTGCTCTGACTTGCAGGCTGTTGCTCTGGCTTGCAATACTGACATGCAGCATTTCATCAGAAGCAAAATAGTTTAGGTCCGTTTCAGAAAGGTGGTTTTCCAAATAGCCAACCCCCTTGAGCGTATTGAACACCCCTCTGAGCTGTTGGTTGTGCTGCATGTTAAAGACTCTCTTTTTCTGCTCCCTTTGCAAAGCTGTTCCTTTGCAAGGGACTGACTTGCCTCAGGGCCAGTTCCTGAACAAACTAAAAACATGTGTGTCCTCAGAGAACAGCGCTGTCATCTGGGCCTTCAGAACAGCCATGCAGGTTGCACAGAACCTGGTTTTGTGAATCCGCAGCCCAAAATTTACACGCCCTTAGTTCAGAGTGCGGGTTGTTCGTTAGCAAGTTTAGAGTGGGTCAGTTTTTATCATCTGCTTCCCCTTGCCGACTTTTTGTAGCCATGGTAGCCTAACATTATCAGAGAGGTAGTAGACTAGAACACACGCTTGTGCTGCAAAGCTTGTCTCTGTATTTTCTACTTCTCCATCAGGTCATCTAACTAGAATACTACATTTCTCTACAGGCTTCAGTTAATTGTGAATGTCCAGGTTTGACACTTGCACCCATCTGAGTGTGTTTATACTCTTGGATTCCTCAACACCCAAGATTCTGGCTCTTGCTCCAGCTTGTGAAATTGAACTCTGATGTTACCTTATTATTTCAGCGGATTCAATAACACTGTCAGATATTTGCATCTTAACTTTGAATTTAACTGAAACACAGTTATTTTTTGGTAAAGTTACCTGCATTTGTTGTCAGGTAATAGGTAGTGACTATTTCTCCCGGGGCTTTGCTGCCTGGAGCCTTGGGAGCTTTTCTTCTTTTGCCCTTTTTTTTTTTTTTTTTCTTTGCTTCTTCGTGCTTTTTATATTGGGAAGAGGATAATGCAGTAAAAGCCACATACTTAAAGCAGCAAGCAAATAGCATATTCACCTGGGTTGAATTCATGTTAAATTTTTATGCAGGAACATGATGCAAAACTGTTGCGTTATTGTTGTTCCTAAAACAGGGTCTGTCACTCGGTGCGCAGTAGGTCAGTCGCACACCCAGGGCACAGGTGTCTGCTTATTCCCTTCTGTGCAGAGTTGGGTGCTCCTTTGGCTAATCTGGACCTTCCAGCACAAGCGTGTTAACTGTTATTGAGTTAGACTGTGTGCCTCACCCAATTCTGACCAGTATCCTAAAGCAGGTACGTTACTCTGATTATATTTTAAACTGGAGCAGCCCACTCGGAAGGTTGAGGTGTGCTCGGAGGCAAGGTGAGCTGGTGTGAGCCTCCAGGAGCACGAAAACAACTTCACCGATGGTTCTTCGTGGTTTTGCTGATGGCCCCTTCTTTTTGTTGTTCCTGTTTGTAACAGGTAACTCCTATTTCAAGGCTCCTTGGGGCATCTTACTGGTCTATTTTATATTCCTGCAGTTTTAGGATCTTTTAGGGTCATGAGACATCGTTATTGTCCAAGCTAAACACACCTGCTTATAGTCCTGTAGAATTTTGAGTATCTCTTGTCCAAGCACCATCCACTATTTTAAAAGTATGCAAAGCAGGAGTCTTCTACAAGCTGAAAAACCTTATAATTCCACGTGTAACAGAGCCATTTTTCCTTTAAATCTTCGTTTTTTGTCGATTTCCTTCAGAGGTGTGACTTTCAGATGGCTATAGATGTATTAGGGGAAGTTTGGAAGAATTTCAGATTGAAGAGTGATAAATGGTTTGCAGCCAGAAGAGGGGGCACGATGTCACAAGATGGAAGCAGTGTAGCTAACTGAATATACCTGTGCTCTCTTACAGGATGGAAACCCTCCCATGGATCCCAGCGAACACTTCATGGAAGAACATGAAAAACTCACAGACCAAGAAAGATCAAAAAGGTGGGCTCATATCCATCCCACACACACCTAAGCATGCGACTGAGAGAATATTTAAGAGAAGAAATTGAGAGAGATCGTTGTTGTTGCAGATTTGAAAAAGCCTATACCCACACTTTATATTACCTGGCACAAGTCTACCAGCACCTGGAGATGATTGAGAAGGCTGCCCAGTATTGTCATACCACTCTGAAGCGACAGCTTGAGTTTAGTGGCTATTACCCGGTAGAATGGGCACTCAATGCTGCTACCTTGTCACAGTATTATCTCTCCAAGGTAACGTGCATAATGTTTTTCTGCTGTAGTTTTGTCGTGGACGTAGCTATCAAGTGAAACGGTGGTTTAAGCAGCTCTTTGAGACAGGGCTCCGTATTGAATTAAAAATGTTTTTCTGTAAAACCACAAATTGTCTTCTGATGTGAAGCAACTGTTTATTTTCTGAGACGGATGGAGTGGTTGTGCTTTCCTGTGTTGGTTTGATGACAACGGGGAAAATGAACAGGGCAGTAGACACCAGATGAGCTCTAGAGTTAACGAACCTTTCGGGGGTGATGTGACGTGATGCTTGTAAGTGAAGCTTGAAATGATTGTCCCTGCATAATTTTAAGCTCTTTGTTATAACTGCAATTATGTTGCTCTCCTACAGTAAAAGTTAATAATGATGATTTAGGGATGGTATTTTGCACACCAGGTGTTGCCTGTAAGTTGTCATCCTTTCATATTTTAGCGTGTGCTCAAGACTTGTTCGAGCCTACCTGAACATTGAAACTAGCTGTAAGATGGTAGCTGCCTCCATTCATCCGTATTGACTCTGAATAATCCAGGGAAGGGATCTTAGGAAAGGCATCGGTTTTATTTAGGGATTTTTAACTCCAGTTTTATCCAGATGGTATTTTCTGATACCTAAGGGCCTTCTGCAATCCCTATGTTTGCTAATGCCCGTTTCAATGAGAATTTGTAACTTCTGTATCTTTTTGGTGGGATCAAATCGTTAAATAACTGGCTGCCAGATATGAGTAAAGGAATCTAAATCTGCCTCCTAACAGTGGCTTGTATGTCCATCGCGTTCTGACTAACACCCATGATAAAATCTTCACCCTGCAGGGTCAGGAAGTGGCAGTAGCGTAGATGAGAAGCATGTGGAAATGCTTACAGTGCATAAATCTCATGTTAAAAGCAAGGGTTGCTGCTGTGGCTGAGGTACACAGACAAGGTTGCTTAGAAAATACCATGCTCAGTAGTCAGTGAGAGAAATTACCTCTTTTTTTGTTTTTTTTCCCATGACCAGGAAAGGCTCCCAAGCCTCCTAATGCCGTCGTCGTCTCCCTCGTGTTCACGCAGCCGTCGGCGCTGCGAGCCGCAGTGCTCGCGCTGCTCGGTACCCGTGATAACCAGTGCTCTTTCTGTTCCTCTCAGCAATGCTTCATGGAGGCCCGACACTGCTTAGCAGCAGCCAACGTCATCTTTAGCCAAGCTGGACAGGTTCCTTCTGCTGAAGACAGTAAGCTTTCAAGAAAGTTTTCTATCGCATGTTGTGAATGAAACGTCTCTATTAATAGTGAAGTCTAATTATGTCTTGAGCTTATTCCAATTTTCATTTTCTAAAAATCTTTTTATTAACGATAAGAACAGTGTCTTTTAAGAGCTGCTGTTACTGCAGCTTGAGATCGGCTATGTGTAAACTCCTTGAGGAGATACTCAAGTGCTCTTTGCTAATCCTTCAGAGATCATCAGAAAAGTTTTTGTCTTTGGTTAAACATGTCATGTATTAGAAACTGCAATGTGCAGCAGTATGCTTTTCAATAATGGGAATGTGTCTGTTTGCCCACTTGTCCTTGTATATGTGCTTAAAACACAGTTTCACCTTTGTTTCTAAATCACTGGAGGGCAATGATTCAGTGAAAGGAGACAGAACTTTCTGGGAATAGTTTTGAAAGGGGAAGGGAAACTGCAGCTCTTAAAAACAGAGACTTAGAGGGTATCTGTAGTGTCTTTGGTTGCTGGATACTGCAGCCTCATTAATGGTTATTTTTGAGCTTTTAGGCACTGTCCTTGTTATTTTGGGTATTGATGTGAAGGAGCAACTTTGCTGTTCAGCATCAAGATCGATAAAAGAAACCTCTAAAGACACACTATGGTTTGAAGGGTCTGTGGATATGCAATGAGTGTTTTTACTCAAAATAATCTCTTGTATGTTTAAGCTCTGCTTATCTACAGCAAAGCTTTCCATATTCCAGCTTTTGGACGACTGAAAGCTTCCAGTGAAATGGGCCTTTAACTCATGAAGAGAGAGCAAGTATTCAGTGTAGCCCCAGTGACAGTTCATAACCAACTTAAAAATTGACCAATATATTCACTGTTTAGGGGTATGAGCTGTTTAGAATACAAGTTCTTTAATCCACTGATGCTGCTACTTCAGGTTAAAATACAACCTGAGCAGTCACAACTGAGTTTTATTTAGTTGGAGGTACATTCATTTTGGTCTATCTCTTAGCTCAGAACTAAAGAACTCTGTTCATCTGCCCTTTCCTATTTAAGAACAGAAATCTTACTTTAAATTGTACTTTATAGATTGTGTTTTGGGGTGGGGATGAGGCAAATAACTTTTTATCCGTAATTCCCCCCTTGCTAAAAGGCAGTAGGGATGCATGTGCTCGTTCCCATGGAGCACGTTTCCCTGCTTCCCTTCCCTTCCGTAAGGGCGGCTCGGCTGGTGACATGGGGATCCCTGAGCAGGAAGTTTGAAGTGTCACAGACTAACACAGTCGGTATTAGCCACTTCCGGGCGCGCCAGCGGGATTCATCCTGGCATGTGAATCTCGGTGTGAAATGGAGATACTTAGAAAATGCCCCTTTCCAGGTTAGCAACAACTATTCGTAATGACTTGATCGGCAGTAACGAACAAAATTGAAACTGAAGCTAGTGAACTTGAGCTTGAAGTTTGTTTTTAAATTTAGCAACCAGGCAGTTCGTTTCTGGAGCTGGTTTTCTTTTTCGTTTCTGGAAATTCTGGAAATTCTGCTGATGTCTTGAGACATCAACTTTGCTGTTCAGCCCTGGTATATAGCAGGGGGACAACACGGAGGAAAATGCAGAAGTTACAGGCTAATAGGTATTACGTTGTGGCGAGGGGGACAAACCACAGGCACTTTCCCCTGCTTTTATTCCCTTTTCTGGTAGCAAGTGTTGGGGCCTGTTGTGAGACAAATACTCTGATCATCCTGAGGAGTTTCCACGCTGTAACAGAAATGACTCAGCAAGCAGCTGAATCTCAGAAAATAGATCACCCTTTCTCTTATTGCAGAGGGAAATTCAAATCTTTTCCAGTAGAACATCTTCAAGATCAAAGGCTTTTTTAAGCACACGTAATGGTCTGGGTGTTTTGGTTTCTTGAGTGCTAATGACAAATCCATGCTAATCTATATTGGTTTTTACCAGACAGCTCACAGAATTATTACATGAACTAACAAGGAGAACATGCTTCTGTCTAACAATGGATACAAATGAATCCTGTTAAATACAAGTAACAACGTATTTTTTGCATGTAGCACTTGAGGTTATTATTAAAATGCTCAAGCTTCTTAATTTTTTTTTGTGTTGATGTCCCTTTATTAGATGAAGCAGAGCAAGACCAACAAGACCTTCGGCAGAGGAAGGCTGAAATTGCGAGATGCTGGATCAAGTATTGCCTGAATCTTTTGCAGAGTGCTCGGAAATTACTTGAGGTAACAGAAAATATGTTCTGGAGTTGCTCTTGTTTGAAAACAAATTTAATCAATGTTGGTATTTGTGGTGGTGATCACTTCATAATAGGTAGCAAATGATAAACCATTGCCCAGTCAATAAGGCAACCAATACTGGAAGCCTGGTGGGTGTTTTTGACTTCATTGCGGCACTTAAAAATAAGGCTGGGTAGGAGATCAGTTCTGTAGCATTTTGAGAGCGCTGCTGGTATAGAAACTTGAGGGATCGTCCTCTTCTCTGCTGTATTTCCTTGTGGTTTGATTTCACAGATCACCCTTTACTGTAGGGGTTGTAGGAATAGCCTCTCAGTGTTGTGTGCTGGTAGTTTCATTCGTGTCAAGTTCTTCACGCTCTGCGTGTGCTGAAGTGCTTTGCAGAAGCAGGGTCTTTGGGCTCTGTTGTTTGCTTATTGTTTTGGCTATGTTGTCTCACAGGGCAGACAGACTTAAATTGTCTGTGTCTGTTCTTAAATGTTAAGTTTTTACAGAGTTGAGAACATGATTTATGTGGCCTTCAGTGGCTATAATGTTTAATATGCCAACGTGCCATACTTTCTGTCTTGTTGCTGATTAGTTGGTGTTTGAAAGGTAGCCCGTAATTAAAAAAGCTTCAGCGTAGTGTTTCTCTGTAATCCATGTATATTTTTAATTAATATGTTTTCTCTTTTCAGGATAACATAGGAGAGCTGGATCTTGACAGACAATTAGAACTTAAAGCCCAAAGGAAAAAAGAGGAGGATGAAAAAGAGAATGGCAGGAAAAAAGCTGTCCTTTTTGTGACGAGTGATATATGTGACTCTGTCTTAGCCATGGAGGAGAAAGTGAGCTGTGTGTATCCTTTAGATTTTCAGGAAGCCCGAGAAATCTTCCTGGTGGGTCAGAACTATGTCCAGGAAGCAAAAGAGTTCTTCCAGGTTGACGGTTACGTCACTGACCACATAGAGATTGTTCAGGATCACAGTGCTCTCTTTAAGGTACTTGCTTTCTTTGAAGAGGACTATGAGCGGCGCTGCAAGATGCATAAGCGTCGCGTAGACATGCTGGAGCCTCTGTGTGCAGACCTGAACCCCCAGTACTACCTGTTGATCAGCAGGCAGCTGCAGTTTGAGCTAGCAGACACCTATTACGAGATGATGGATTTGAAGGTAGCCATTGGTAACAGGTTAGAAGAGCTAGACTCCCACACGATTAAAAAAATCAATTTGCTAGCTCAGTTAGCAATAAAATATTATGAACTCTTCTTAGATTCTTTGAGAAACCCAGATAAGGTGTTTCCTGAAGAGCTCGAGGAAGATGTTCTTCGCCCTGCCATGGTGGCCAAATTTCATATTGCCCGGCTGTACGGTAAACTTATTACTTCGGATGGCAAAAAGCAACTGGAAAATATGCAGACCTCACTGGAGTATTACACATTTCTGGTAGACTATTGTGAGAAGTATCCAGATGCTGTCCGAGCTGTGGAAACTGAACTAGAACTCAGTAAGGAAATGGTTGGTCTTCTTCCAACAAGAATGGAGAGGCTAAGAGCAAAACTCAGCCCATTCATATAAACCCTTGCCTTGGAAGGAAATGTGCAATATTAAAATGGTATCTGTCGCAGGCAGTGCTGTAGGACAGCTTCCATGCTGCCTAACAGAACTGTGTAGAGTTCAGCACTCCAGCTAGAGCCCACAATAAAGTAGCCTCGTGAAAACCCGAGAGCCGTCCAGTTTAGTAGCACACCCACACTAATGGTATGAAATCTAAATGTGAATGTCCAGCTCGTGCTTTGTACTGCTTGTCCTGTGTGTAAATATAAAAGTTTCCTGCTGTACCTTTCTCCCTTTGGCATGTGGTTTGCTTTCTAAGTGTATTACTCTATTACTCTGTTTATTTCAGTGAAATCTGTTGATCTAGAGATTTTTTTCTAAGAAACTTGATGCATGTTCTTCCAACTGGGAAACATTTTATCTTTTCTAACCTTTGCTCACATAAACTTCATCCATATGAAGGGAACTTTATGTTATTTCCAGTATTTAATGTTGCTCAGTGTTTTTTTTTCTCTCAATTAAAATCCAACTGATGCAGACTAAATAAATGGACTAGCTTGACTAAGCTTCACAGTGCTTAGAATTCCATTTTCTTGCGTCTTCTAAAATAGGGTACGCGCCTACAACCCTTGCCAGAATAAAACAGCTGGGAGACAGTGTTTCTACATGACTGTCTTCAAGATCTGTGAAGACATTCGAGTGGCTGAATCCTGCTCAACTTCATGGGAAGATTTTTAATGGAAGTAGATTTCTACAGGGCTTTAAAGAAGGATAGTGAAGCAGTTGGATTCTTCAGGAACAGTCATGAAAACCAGGGGGAAATAATGTTTGGAGCGACGAGCGTGCACAAGCAAGAAAGCAAGTATGATTAATACAGGCAGTAAAAACCTCAGGTTTGCAGAATTCCTTGTGGAACCAGCAGACTTCCACCGACAGCCGCACGGGCCAAGAAACACGTTCTGGAAATGTCAGGTAGCAAAACCCAGACTGGAGCGTCCGGGTCGGGGAGCGAGCGCGTGCGTGAGCGCGTCGCCTCCGCTGCAGCCAGCCCGGGGTGAGAGGCTGCTCGTCTCCGCGGTATCAGCCCCTTCGCTTGGCTTTTCCTGCATCCTGAAGATAGGGCTGGCAGCTGTTTCTCAGCGAGATAAGTCTCCGTGCACTGCGATTTGTGATCTCGTTTAAAGCAACTGTGTGCTGTTCATTTGAAAATTAAGGTTATTTTTAATAACTTTTATTTCTATATTTGAATGGAAGAAGGCGATGCTCTTTTTTCTTTCCTCACATACTCTATTCCACCCTCGAGAGCCTTTGAGCAAACTGTTTTAAGGCAACGATTGGCTCGTCAGACTTAGCATCCTTCCCTCAATTACAAGTAATGTGAGACGTGTGTGAATAGATGGTGTGCTAACCCACAATCATACAGACAAATTTCTGTTCTGTATTTTATCTTTCTACAAAGAGCTCCTGTCATATCCTTCAAACACTTAAGAAAAAAGAATTAAAAGTTATTTGCCGGGCAGGCAAAGCTGAGCCAAGTACAGGGCTACATCTCCCCCTTAGCAAGCAGTTGGCCCCTTATTACCTCTCCTTCTTACTAGCCCTTTTTGCTTGTATTCACCCAAATCCCAGTAAAAGCCCAGAAGAAAGGAAGAACTAGGTCTAGACTAGAGACTCAAATAGGGGCAATGTAATGTAAGTACAATAAAAAAATACTTTGTTTACTCTTGGTCAGTATCTTGAATCCTTCGTATCAACTGCCGAGCTGCTGAGCAGACAATACGTATCCCACTCTTGGTCGTTTTTTAAACTTAAGTTTATTTCTTTGGCCCTGTGTGTTTGCAGGTTGGTCCCTTAAATTCAAGGGAGATTGCAGAAACCAGCAATGCCAGTTCCTCACCTCTCCTGACAAATGCTCAGCAGCATACTCAGATGAACAACGTGCATTTCCTACCCAAGACCCCGGGCCAGCACCCGGCATGATGCTTGTTGTGGGTCTTTCCAGGCAAGCCTGGTTTTTAAGGGGAGCTGTTTGAATACTTCCCATTTGCTCAAGGGGTTGGTAGAAAGGAATATATTGGATATTGGAGTGAGGTGGGAGGAGGAGGGCACTTGCTGGATTAGGCAGCAAAGCTCCCTTTGGGAATGTTGAGTTTCGGCTGCAAAGTATGTGTGAGGTCAGGCACTTATTTCAAAGCCTAATTAAAGATTAGACTCCCGTGAACTCCATTTAACCTGCATTTTTATTCCTTCTTGTACCTCAAATTTTCTACCACTCGAAACTGCTTTCTGCTGTTCTGCAAGGTGTTGTTTTTTCCTTTCCCCTGCACAAAGCAGGGAGGTTCACGAGAAGCCCACGGCGGCGCAGGATTCGTACCAAGGGTGGGATCTGCTGGACTTGCAGGCCATAACCCCAGCTCCCTTGTTCAACCAGCACGTGATGTTCTCCAGAAAGATGTTGGGATCCCGGATGAGAGGTAGTTACGCAATTTTGGTTAAAACCAGTTTAATGGAAAGCTTAGGTCTTACCCAGGCTAATAAGGAGGTGTTGAAGGG